TTTTTTGACCACTCAGATTTATTCTTTGATTAAAGATACATATAACTAGATACTTTTTTTACTTCCATATATAGAATCGATTTTGCATAAATCTCAAAAAGTCGAAATACCTCAAAAATTCAAAATTAATTTTGGGAACATGTATAATTTCGCCATACGTCTCTTCAAGTTCGTGAAATCTATTTCAAAATCATTTTGATCTCATGGTGTCCCCACGAATCAACAAAAGGTAAGAAGAAGAAAGGTAGTATATTAAAGATATTATTAAAGCAAAGGATATATAAGTTTAGTTTTATTTTTTTTTTTTAAAAAAAAAAAAGCAAAAATTAAAAAAAAATTTAATAAAAAATGATTATCAGATCTATTGTGTTACAAATTTTAAATAAGTAATTGGTTTCAAATATTTTTTCCTCTGCCAAAAATAATTTGAGCTGTCAAAAATATTTTGGGCTTTAAACTTTTTTGACCTTTGAAACTCAAATAATTTGAACCTATTCTACTACCCAAATTCCAAATTATTTTGAAATTTGGGTGACATGTATACCTTCCGCTACTACCATACCAGAATTATTAACCGTTACCTCTGTTAGAAAAACAAAACTACACGTCAACCTTCAGTTATAAACTAGCTGTCACATTATGACATTTCTAAAGATATTTTGAACATGCAAGCTAGTGCAACTATTGGACAAATGTTACATTATCCAGATCAAAAAAGAAATTTCTCCAAAATTTTAAAAAGACCTATCGTAAAAGAAACTAATCACATCGTAACTGAAGAAAAATGAACAACTGCTACAAAATGTTACGTCCAGATTATACTTGCACGCAAAATTATTTTAAGGTCCCGAAATTACAATTTCGGGAAAAAAAGTCAAAATAGTTTTTCATAGAAGACAAAATTATTTTACTTAAAATCCAAAATTTTTTGATTACCCAGATTTATTTTTTGATTAAAGATACATATAACTAGGTACATTTTTTACTTCCATATATAGAATAGATTTTGCATAAATCTCAAAAAGTCGAAATACCTCAAAAATCTAAAATCAATTTTGGAAACATGTATAGTCCAGATTAAAGGAAATATAATTAAAGCTGTCCTGAATTCAGGAGCTACAGTTAGTATTATACCTGATAAATTAAGAAAGATATTAGGAATCCCAATCAATGTTCCTTCCAAAGTGATAGTAATTATAGCTAATGGTACTTGAGAACGAGTCATTGGTCAGATTAATCATATAAATATTGATATACAAGACTAAAACTTCTTATAGGCCTTAAGGCTCGTGAGCCTAGCGAGCTGAGTCGAGCTTGATATTATAGGTTCATAGGCTCGCGAGCCAAGTTCAACTAATGCCTGGCTCACAAGGCTTAAGCCTTAAAAATTTTGGGGCTTTAAATAAAAGTCCACATAATTTTTTTTAAAAAAAAATTATCTGTTGCTATTAAATAATAACGGAAAAAATCAAATTAAAAAAATAATCTGTCACTATTTAAAGTGATAGATTACTAAAAAAATAAAAAAAAGTGATCTGTCACTATTTAAAGTGACAGATTGTTAAAAAAAAATTAAAATTTCATGGCTTTATTTAAAAGTACAAAATTATTTTTTTTTTAAAAAAAAAAGTAATTTATCATTATTTAAAGTGACGGATTGCTAAAAAAAATATTAAAATTTTGTGACTTTATTTAAAAGCCACGAAATATTTTTTTTTTAAAGCCCCTGAAATTAAAAAATTTAAAGAGTGACAATCATACTCCTTAAAAAAATTTAGAGTGACAATCGCGTTTTTTATTTTTTTTAAATTAAATTCTGATAGCTTATTAAATTAAGCTATCAGAGTTTAATTTCCATAAATACCACTAATTTTC